ATATACCACAGATGGGATGGCCTTAACAAACAGAAGTTTATTCTTAAAATTTGGAGGCTTTAAGTCCAAGTTCAAAGTGCCAGGCTCTAGGGGCTAGGTAAAAGCCCCTCAACCTTGGGGTCCAGCTTGACCTTCTACTCCCAGCCCACTGGAGCTAGAGGCATTTCTTCACTCAGACAGCTGTTGGCTACTGAGGCTGAGAAGCCCCAAGGTTGATAAGTAAAAAGGCACAGTCCCAATGTTAGCAATCCACACGGCAGGCCATTAACTTAAGTCCATTGTAAGTCCCAAGGTCGGCAGAGTATGGCAGGCTGCTGAGCAACGACATGGCTACATGCAGGGTCCAAGCGTGCCATAGGCTAGAGACCATTCCCCAAAGCTTCTCCTTATATACAGGAAGCAGAGCACATATCCAAAGGCAGCTAGCTACTCAGCTGCTCCCAGTAGATTCCACCATGGAGCTGATTCCCAGTCTCATCATGGGAAAGACTATATCCAGCTGCCCAGCCACTCAACCAGGCCTAGCCAAGTTGACACACAAACTTAACTACCACATGAAGCCTACCTTATCTCCATTTTACAGACGAGGATACTGAAGTACAGAAAAATTAGGTAACTTGTCCAAGATTACACAGCTTGTAAGGAGAGAAGTCAGCATCTGACGCTAGGAAGACTTGAGAGCGTTCCCTAATTTTCCTTATCTGTAAATGAGCAGGAGAAAGAAGAGGCTTTGGTAAAGATTTACAGTCTTGGAAACTTCATGGGGTAGTTTTACTCTGTCATTTTACTCTGTCACTGTGAATTGGAATTGACTTGATGGCAGTACATTTTTGTTTTTTTCGGTTTGGTGCATTGTAAATAATACAACTTCTGCCTTACACAATAGTGAATATTATTTGGGACGACAAGATAAAGAATGTCTGGTAGTAGGTTCTCAATAATTGATTGATATTAGTAATAATTTCCCTTAATAACTATCACAATGGTAAGAGGATACTTGATATTTTTTTCATTTTAATCCCTGTTGTGTTTTCTTTTTAAACCAATGAAAAGCTGAAGAAGAAAAAAGGGGGGTGGCATATCAAACAGGAATTAGGACACAAGTTGTGCTACTGTAAAATTTCTATATTGACCCCATTAGCTAGAAGTCATAATAGTGAATCTGAAGTATTTTCACATGTAAAAAGGGAGTTATCAAGCACTGTCTTTAGGAAGTGGAACTGTGCTTCACATTTGCTATTCGTCCTCCACATTTTTGTTCTCATCCACTACTCTCAGAGATAAGACAAGCTGTCTTTGGTATCTATATAACTGGATGGCCTTAAGCTTTTCTAATTGCAGCTCCAAATGCCATTAAAATTCAAATTTTCGTCTATCTTAAATGACAAATTACAAATTTCACTGTACTTCATTGTGTATTTTAACAAATGGGGAAAAAAATGTTTTTGTGTAATTATGTGGATTTTTAAAATCATTTGGCATGAATGAAAACTTGAAAGTCTTCGTTAGGGGCATCCAAGAATTATGGCCTGTGTTAAGAATTAGGAGCCCTAATGTTGCCATGGGAATTACACATTTGACCCTTACATTTTTCTCATAGGTGCAGTTATATAGGAAGTTAGCTTCAGAAATGATTTGTTAAAAAAAGTCCACTCACTTCTCCCGTTTTTTAAGTTTTGATTTTACTACTTCTCAGATAAGAATAGGAAGTATTTATAATCCCACTTTTTGATGTTGTGTAAAAATTTACAATTTTATGTCGAAATCTTTCTAAAATAAAAAAGTTATTAATTAAATACACACACGTACCTATACTAAAAGCATTTAAATTTTGAACCTAAAACAAATCCTCTCCATTGGAGCCCTGAATTAAGTTTGAGTTGCATTAACATTTTCTTATTAATTTCTGTACTTACTTAAACAGGTTTATGTTTCTGCAAGTTTTATTTTGTTTCTTCCAAGTAATTGACCACCTCCATCACACCAGATGTTGGAATGAAAACAACATGAATAAGTCCACACATCCTTTCCAGCTAGTCAGAGAATGCACCTGTAAAGCAGCTGCTATGATACACATGCTATGAGTGCTGATATTACTGCCAGGTGAAGCATGATAATGAGAATCATTCTTTTTGTCTCAAGCTTAAAATTTTCATGTCCATTTGAAATAATAGCATCACTGAGTATTTGATGTGTTCTGCTACTGTTCCAAGTATGCCCCATATTTTCATTAAGTAATCTTTTATTTTCATATCATTAGTCTGTTGCCTAAGCAAAATTGTGAGTATGTTGGGAGCGTTTTAAGTGTTTTTAGTAAACAAAAGCAGAGGACAGTATTTTCTCAAGTTTTCTAAGAATTCTGTGTTCTAATTCTGTGTTCTAATCCCTGTGTTATTGCCGTGGTCAAGAAAGACAACCATAAAGATACTAACAACTCGAGTTAGAAGACAGTATTTTTTAAAATTGCCATTTTTTTTCTCTTATTTTCTTGGTAAATAAATTACTTCCAAGAGCAATGGGGTAAATAGGGAAATTTTGGTTACTGAGTGAGGATCGCCTCAGTCAATCTCCTCCATTCCCGCTTACCCACTGATTTCATCGTCCCTTCTTTGCTGGACCAGGTATTCACGTCCCTCCGACTCACACCACACCGAGAACGCGGTGGACCGCGTCGGGTTACACACGTGGGCAGCTTAGTGCGCGCTTAAGGCTTCGGGTGGACACCTGGGCGGACACCTGGGCTGTATTTCCAAGCCTGCGGATGGTTTCCAGTGGGACAGGCATCCTGTCAGTGGTAGCTCCCCATTCACGTTTTGACAGCAGCGCGGCCGACCGCGAGCGAAAAGGAAAGTGCCCCCAACCATGGCCCTTCCGTCCCCTCCCCTACTTGCACGCGGCGCGGGAGGGCCCAACTGCGAAGTGGTGGCCCGGTCGGCCGACTCCCCATAGGTGGCTGCGTTTCCGACTTCGCCCTGGCTCCACTCCGGGGGCTTGACGTGCAAACTTCGCCGGAGCGAGCGGAGAGGGAGGGCCCGGAGAGGGGGAGGAGGCGGCGGGAGGCGCCTCCGCTTAAGGGAGCCGGCCGGGCGCCGCCGCTCGGACGGACGCGCGAACGGAAGGAAGGAACGGGGTCGCCGGGTCCGGTGATGCGAGTAGCCTCAGGGTGGGCATCCCGGGAGCAAGGGGCACGTGTCGGGTCTCCCCGTCATGGTGTTCCGTGGTGGGACGTGGGTTTGGGGCGCAAGCAGCTCCGGACGCCGGCCTCCGCGTCCGGAGCCAGGACCCCATGTCTTGGTGGCGGGCCGCCAGGCGTCCGGTCCCTTGCCCCGAGGGGCCGCCGGAGTCGAAACTGAAAGCTAGCCGGCGCCGCGGACTTTGCGCCCGGGGCGGGGGGTGGCCCCTGAGTAGGCGGGTGAGGTTAGAGAGGCTGGGCAGCCGGGGGGCGCTGTCAACACGCCCCACCCGGCCCGCGGGCCGCGCACGCCGCCGGAACTCCCCGGCGCCTCCTTAAAAGCGGCCCCCGCGCGACTCTTTTCCCCCTTTTTTGTTACATTGTAGGAGCGGAAAGAATGTCGGAGCGGGCCGCGGATGACGTCAGGGGGGAGCTGCGCCGAGCGGCGGTGGCGGCGGGCGGAGCAGCGGCCGCGGCCGCCCGGCAGCAGCAGCAGCCACAGCCTCCGCAGCCCCAGCGGCAGCCGCCGCTGCCGCCACGGCGCCTACGGCCGGAGGACGGCGGTTCCGGCGCCTCCTCTACCTCGGCCGCCGTCGCCGCCACCTCAATGGCGACCGTCGGGGAGCGCAGGTCCCTGCCCAGTCCTGAAGCGATGCTGGGACAGTCGTGGAATTTGTGGGTCGAGGCTTCCAAACTTCCTGGGAAGGACGGTGAGTGCCCACGCCCTCGTCCTCCTCATGACCCCACCTCCCTCCTTATCTTAAGTCTCCCCTCCCCCTCCCGTCTTGTGGTCCGCCCCCTCGGGGGTCAGAGATGCTATCGCCCAGTTGGGGAACGCTGAGGTGCCCACACCTAACCCGTGCGTGCGTGGGTGTGCGTCACACTCCGGCCACTGACTCGCCTCTATCCTCCTCCTGTGTGTGTGTATCTCCTAGGGACGGAATTGGACGAAAGTTTCAAGGAGTTTGGGAAAAACCGCGAAGTCATGGGGCTCTGTCGGGAAGGTGAGTCCAGCCCCCGTGATGGAATGTCTTCAAGTCCTGGGGAAGTTTCCTTGCTGGCTGCAACAGGGCCTGAAACTTCTGCCTACCTTACCGACTTCTTCCCCAATGTGAACATGCTGCATGATGAGGAAGGAGGGGAAGGGGCAGAGCATTTTGAAAATCTGGTTTCCGGGGACATTTGTAATGGGGAGCATCCCAGAACCCTTCAGTGGGTCCCTGGCGAGGTGCAGCATGAGTGTCGAGTGATAGGTAGCTGGCTTGCAGTACTGCAGGCATCCTACTGTTGCTCCATGATCAGCACTGGGACTTGGCAGTGAATTTAACCCAGATCCCTTCATGTCTGACCCTCTTGGGACAAACATCAGTAGAGGAAAGACTGCTATAAATGCTTAGAGGGATGTTATAGAAAGAAAACTATGCCACTTAAAATTTTCTGCTGGGAGTCAACATGAATTTTCAAATTTAAGAAAGCAGAAACACTACCTTGGCCGTCTGATATGACATTTAGGTTACAAGCAATCCCCAGGTTTCTAACGTCCAATTGGAGTTACTAACCAACCCCCTTAAAGTTGAGAATTCTAGGTACATAAAGTAGTTTAACAAACCGGTGCTACTTTGTAACACATATCGAAACATTATTGTATTATTATGTGAAAGATGTTTTAATGTATGTGGAAGTGTTCTTTAATGTTTTTTATTCATAGAAAGGCACATTATATGCTAACACAAACATTTGAGTAGCATTGGGTACATAATTGCACCTAACTCTTCAGAGTTATGTACAAATTCGACTTGAATGAAACTAATTCATCCTGGAACTGCCTGTACAAAATTTAGGATCCTACAAAGTGAGTGTTAACTGAAGAGTAGTCTGTCAGTTTTTGTTTGTGTATAGGCTGCCAAGTTCAGGAAAGAAAAGCTCAGAATTGTATAGCGTGAAACATGCCTTTAGAGCCTATAGCAATCAGAATCTAATTGTCATTTTTAAATAAAACTATCTGGCAAAAGGATACCCTAGGGAAATATCTTTGGCTAAAGGTGTGAGTCCAGATGAAAGAGCAGGTATCTGTAGAGTGTTGGAATTTGCCTTGGTATTTTCTTTTTCTTTGAATAGTCAGCTTTTACTATCTATTGCCATTTTATATCTATAATAGTCAGCTTTTCTGTCTATTTTGCTATCTGTCTGCTAGCTCCAGGCCTGGGCACACTGGTCAGAAAGGACTTCTTGAGTCTGGTTCACCTGATCAACTTCACCTTTAATTTCAAGTTTTTCTATTAGTGGTAGTGAGGGCAAGATACTGAGTGAGTTTTGGCATCTAAAATACTGAGTTTATATTGCCCAGTGCAATTTTATTTCTCACCTGTAGCCATTTATTTTGGCATAGTTGCTGCCTAGGGCCGAAGAATAGGAAAAGTTTTGGTTACTGGAACATTTTAAAGTGTAGAGTTGACCCTTTGTTACTTTGTCTCTCGTTACTTCTTGTTTGTATTACATACCTTTTTTTCATGTTCATAGTCTTTGTTCTTTCAGTTGGCCACTTGGCCTCTTGGAACTGTGGAGAAGAGTAATACCAGTGGCAGCTCTAAAAGAGCTTCTAACTAGATTAGAATATAGAGCAAATTATCGTATTCTTGCATATAATTAAAAAAAATTATAGTGACCCCTCCTTGGGTTTCCGAGGCAGTAGCACTACAGAAGTAGATTGTTTGGCCTTCTTTCCGACCAGTGGCTAGTGGGTTTGAACCACCAGCTTTCTGGTTAGCAATCAAATACCTTAGGCACTGTGCCACCAGAGCTCTTTTGCATATAATTCACGACTTGCTTATAGGAAGCTAGTGAGTGCTAGAGGAAGTTGTGCCTGTTTGCAAAAAAAGTATAATGGGTGTTACTTATGTAAAAATATGATAGCTGATTTTGAAAATGAGAATTGCTATTTGAAACCTAAGGAAAGAGGTAAAGCATAGGACTTGTTAGGGATGTTGCAATAAGAAAAATCAGTTGTTAGTCTGGTTTTAGTGTTAAATTGGCAGGTCGCCTGGGCTTAAAAAAATTAAAATCACTAGATGGCAACTCTCATAGGAAGTAGCTAGAATAGTGCTAAAGTTTAGAGGATCTAACCTGCACTTGTCCATAGTTTTCATTCTCTGGGTGTGGATATATTTCTCATAAAAGCTTCCTAAATCAGGGCAAAAACAGGGTGCTGATTATTGGTAATTCCCCTATAGAGGTTGAGTAAGTGTATTATTGTTTCACTGGGCAATTTAATCTAGACTGAAACCCAACCAAATTTAGTGGCTTAGATACAGTTTTTCTTTCTTTATTATTTTATGCTGAGACTTATTCGTTAGCAGGTTTTCCATAAATACATAAGACCTTTTAACTGCCTACTTGAAGCATAATAGGGTCATGGATCTAGTCATTGTGCTTCTCCCTTATCAAAGTATTAGTTTTTATTAGAGGTGGCCCCCTCCTCTTTTTCCTTTTAGCTACTCCAGCCATTTGAGGGTATGAGAACTACCAAGCTGTCTGGAATTCACACATGCCTGGTTCAAGTAGAGAGTACAGTTTTAAATTCAGTCAGTTCTTGATTTTTTTGTGACTTGGTGGATTTTCTGATCAGTTTAAGAATCTATTTTAAGCACTCACACAGTGGGCTTCTTTGATCTCCTAACAAATAGCCCATGTATGGCTGCTTAAGAGATGAAAGCACTTTTTAATATTATAAAAAATTATTAGACAGTTATATCCCATTGTCTTTGGTTAAGATTATCTCCTACCGAGAAAAGGTGTTTTGGAATGTTATGAGTCCAAACACTGACTCTAAACAAGATATAGATGGAGTCCCTGGGCAGTGTAAGTGATTTGTGTGCTTGGTTACTAACTGAAAGGTTGGAGGTTTGCGTCTACTCCAGAGGCACCTCAGAAGAAGATCTCGGCAATCTATTTCTGAAAAATTAGCCTTTGAAAATCTTAAGGAGCACAGTTTAACCCTGATAACACATTTGGTCACCATGAGTTGTAATCAACTTGACAGCAGCTGGTGTGTGAAATAACTCAGTTCATACTAATTTCTTCTCCTCTTTCAACTGCTTATAATCTTAGACTTGATTTCCTAATTTGGTATTTATCTGGATTAGGAGTTTGTAACCTGGGAGTTTTGAATGGACTTTATACCAGAATTTTCCAAACCCGTAGCAATCAAGTTGATTCTGATTCATAGTGACCCTATAGGACAGAGTAAACCTTTTAAATCTTTACAGAAACAGACTGCCACACGTGTTTCCGTCTGAGCAGCTGGTAGGTTCAAACCATCAACCTTTTGGTTAGCAGCTTAGCACTTTGACAACTGTACCAGCAGGGCTTGCTTGAATGGGCTTGAGGCTGTCGTAAAGCAGACCAGTTGCCATCCAGTCAACTGTGATTGATGTTGACCTCACATGTGTCAGAGTAGAACTGTTCTCTATAGGGTTTTCAGTGGCTGGGTTTTCTTTCTGTATTTGTAACTTAACTTTGTCCAGTGCTCTACTGGCAAGACTGCTCAAGTTTTATGCTATGGGGGAAATTTGAAACTATTGATTTAATTGGAAGTGAGATTATTGGTAGTTTAGCTACTATATATCCCCCATCTTTCTATTAACTGTTTATCAGTTAACTTGCTTGGCATCTCAGAAGGCCTGATGATCTACTTCTGAAAAATCAGCCATTGAAATTCTATGAAACACAGTTCTACTCTGACTCATGAGATTGTCATGAGTCAAAATCGACTTCATGACTGCTGTTTTTCTTCTCCACCTTTCTGTTAGCACAGGATGGCAGATTAGGATAAAATTTCACTAATATTTCAGAGGTCTGCCTAGTTTTTTTCTATGTGTTCTTATATATTTATAGCCTTGTGTGTGGTGTTTTATAGCTTGACAGCACGTTTGGTTTTGGTGGAAGAAGATTGATAATACATTCTGACTTTTTTAATGACAAACTCAGAAGACCAATTATTTTTTTTCTTAAAGGTAATTTGTAAAATCTAAATCTGGGATTTAACAAATTTATGTTCAGATTGAATTAATCACTGTGAATAATTGATTAAGATTTCGATACTAGTGCCTGAACACAGAGAGAGAACCTTTAAGAATCAAAGCATTAAACATCATAATTTCTCAGCAAATTATTTGTGTGTGTGTATGTGTATATAGATGTGTGTATGTATGTGTGTGTGTGTATATATATATATATATATATATATATATATATATATATATGATTTATGAGCTCTGGTGACAGAGTGGTTAAAGCATTCGGTTGTTAATATCAGTGGTTTGGCCACTAGCCGCTCCATGGGAGAAATATGAGTCATTCTGCTTCTGAAAGATGAGTCATTCTGCTTCTGTAAAGATTTACAGCCTTGGAAACCTTTTTGGGCAGTTCTCCTCTATCCTGTAGGGGCACTGTGAGTCAAAATTGACTCATAGCAGTGTGTACTCTGGCAGTGGGTTTTTGGTGTACATAGGTTTCATTGTAGGAGTTAACAGTGGTAATGGAAAAAATGACATTTTCTTTGGGAAGACATCTCTAACTTAAGTCCACCTGTTATACAGTATCAAAGTACCCTGGACTTTTCCTTTCTCCAAATACTCTACACTTATAACTTTCTTTATTAGAAATCTTGTATTATGTGATGGCTTCTTCACTGAGTAAGCTCCTTGAGGGCAGGAGCATTATTTAGGCATGTCCAGATCCTGCACACCATTTTTGCTCAGTAAATATTTGTCGGAAATGAATGAATTGTGCTACTAGGAAGATTGAATTGGGTCACTCAAGGGTAAATGGTTCAGGTGACCAATTTTCCATTGTGTTGTCTCTCCAAGAAAGGTGGTACCTGTTCTATGGAATGTGCACTTCAGGGACACAGGGGAGTCAGGAGGCTTTCTTTCCTGTTGATTTGTCTTGATTTTAGTACTCCATTTACACTTTCCAGAAAGGGTGAAAACAGGATCCCACCTCT